AGTGTTATGCAAATGTTAATTGCCAGGTGTCTTTGAATGATACCTCCAACTTCCTGATAATCCAGTGTCTTTCCGTGAACCACAACATTCTTGTTCATTCCTTCAATCACCTTCCCACAAACAAGCTTTTTCTCATTAAAATCCTCGCATAAATTTTGCTTAGTAAAAACAAGCTGAGCATGGTGACTCACGCCTGTCATCCCAGCAGTTTGGGAGGCTGAGGTGGGCAGATCCCTTGAGGCCAGGAGTTCAAGGCCAGACTGGACAATATGTCAAAACCCATCTCTACAAAAAACACAAACATTTTTCACACTTTTGTATTTATGGTGGTGCATGCCTGTAGTCCTGGTTACTTGGGAGGCTGAGGTGGGAGAATCATTTGAGTCCAGGTGGTGGAGGTTGCAGTGAGCCAATATTGTGCCACCACACTCCAGTCTGGGCAACAGAGTAAGATTCTGCCTCAAATAATAATAATAATAATAATAATAATAATAATAATAATATAAAAAGACAAACTAACAAACTTTCAAATAATATCCTCCTTCAAGTCATCATATCTTAAACTAGCGTGTTGTACATATAAAGTAGCCAATTAATGGACTTGAAAATACCGCCCTTTGTTTTACTTGGACAATGTACATCTACTAGATTTGTTCAGTTTTTATGCGTTAATGCCTTTGAGGAATGAAGGCTAAGAACAGTACATTCCAATATGTTTCAAAGATATGCTAGGAAAAAAGACTGTAGGCACCTAAAGCCTCAGTCCAAGGCTGTTGTCTGCTTATTCTCTAAGCAAAATGTATGGCAGAGAGAAGGTATTTAAATCTCATTTGTATGGATGAGTGAAACAATAAATGACTGAGAAGAGCATCTATTGCAGTGGAGACCCAAAGGCAACAACTAAAAAGAATAAATGCCAACCAATAGATTATGGGTATAAGCCTCCAAAATCTATTGGCTATAAATCTAGACAAACTACTAGATTTTTATGAACACTTATTTCCTTAAAATTAAAAGCTGAGATAATAAACATAGAATCACAGAACTGTCTATGCTCTGACAAAAAATTACTTCAAATCCCTGTGTGGACACATAGGCTCTTTAAGTCTGTGTTCCCTATCTCCTAAATAACAAGCTTTGACTAGATTACATGGGTATCTACTCTATCTAGTTAGGGGTCTATAATTGTAGAACAGCTGCAGTGAAAAAATAGATGAAAAAAATGCTTTGAAAAAAAGTTAAAAGTATTATACGTATGTTTGATATAGGTGGAAAAAGCCAATAAGGGAAAGATAACATCTGGTCAAAGATTCTAAAATTATCCATCATTCTTCTGAACTATTCATGGCTTTTAAGGATCTCCTTTCTTTGGAGCTGCCTATCATTTGCGTACCATATCAAGAGCATTCTTATAGGACACACTGTAATATTGGTCACCAACCTCAAAAAGTCACTTTCTATATTTGTAGCTAATAGATATATAGCAAAGAGCCCTATGTCATTAACAATAACTTAAGTCATCTTTTAGTCCACAGTTTTCTGTGGTTTATTAATGGCATCACACATTAATTCTTCTTTCAGGAGTGACCTTTACAACACCATTAATTCTCACAGCTTTTATCCAACTACATTATTACTCATTAAAGTTTCAGCTTTCAACATCTGCATTTGTTGAAAAGAGAAAAGTAAATTGTAGTGGCCTCAAATCCTTGGAAATTATGAGGGATGTGTATGTGGTAAAGGAACTTTTCAGAAAAAAGATGTTTTAGTAGTGGGGAAAGTCATGATAAATGACATTAAGTATGTTCTTGCCTTTCTAAAATAATTTGTCATACTTAATCCTTGGGAATGCTAAAGAAAAAATATTGATACATGATAAAAATAAAAATTAGTTATTCTATTAGTCACATATTCTAGTTCTAACAACATCACAAAAGTTGCTCATGTACCAACACTATGACATTTATGAGTCTACATGTATATTATGATAGTGTATGATTCTTGCCAAATAAAATATTTTTTCTTTTACATAGTACATGAAAGTAGATCTAATCTTGGAGCCCATTTAGGATGTTTAGCAGAGTAGCTGGAGTTAGACTATAAGGTGAAAAAGCACACATGTGTCTGAAACCTTTTTCAAACTTCTCAAAACTTCCATTCTCACTGTGGCCCCACTGCCTAGACTGAATTCCTGTTAACAAATAATCTGGAATTCTACTTTGTGGAGATTAAAGCATTTGATACACACTCCTTCAGCCTTCATTCTCATCATTCCAAAATTTCTCTGAAATTTTACCGTTTTTCTCTTCCTTTCTTTCAGTCTCAGGAAGAAGAAAAGTTTTTCTCCTTTACAAGGGTTAATTCCTTCACATCATCTCCTTGCTATCTTGTCACTCTTGTACTTTTTCATATCTAGACATGTCTCTAACTCTTCTTCCTCTTCCCCCTTGAAAAGTAATATACATATTCCTATTTTAAAATCTGTCTCTACTTAGCCTTCTCAAATTATTATCACTTCATAACACCAAACTTAGAAAAAGATGAGTTTATATCACCAAATTAACTTTCTTTCCTCTTATTCTTCCACTCTGTATAATTGGAAATCTATTCGAACCATTCTATTAAAACTTCTCTGTCAGTCTACCTGTCCAATTAAAATCCTAATTCTTCAAGTTCTTTAATTTTCCTGCAGAAGGTCTACCATTAAATAATCCCTCTTTTTTGAAACTTAATTTTCCTGGACTAGCATGACATGACTCTATCTTGACTCCTATTCTAAAACACTCACTTGCTCTTCATTCTAAGACACTCAACTTACTCTTCATCGGTTTTGCATCTGAAAAAAAGTGTAGTTGTTCTACAATATGTCCAATGATACTTTTATACTCTCTACTTCAGTTGGAGCCTAATTCTGCTTCCCTTGAGTTGGGCTAGACTTAACGATTCTCTAATAAGAAACAGAATAAAGCAGAATTGCCTCGAATAACTTTGGAGAACAGCTTATAAAAGACACTGTGCCTTTCCCTTTGCTCTTTGCTTGGATCACTCACTCAGGAAGGTTCACTGCCATGCTACGAGCAGCCCAAGGAACAGGCCTATGTGGCAAAGAACTGAGACCTCCAGAAAACAGATAATAATAAATGTTAAATAATAAATAACAATAAAAGAGACAACAAATATTGGTTGTTTTAAGCTGCTAAGTCTTAGGTTAATTTGTTACACAGCAATGAACAATACAATACCAATGTTCTGATATTAATATAGTACATAGGTATCATAAATATTAGTTATCTCTACTAGTATCTAATACAGGCATCCCCAAACTTTTTACACAAGGGGTCAGTTCACCGTCCCTCAGACCGTTGGAGGGCCACCACATACTGTGCTCCTCTCACTGACCACCAATGAAAGAGGTGCCCCTTCTTGAAGTGTGGTGGGGAGCCGGATAAATGGCCACAGGGGGCTGCATGCGGCCCGCGGGCCGTAGTTTGGGGACGCCTGATCTAATACAATACCCATGATTCTTTACTCCACTTCTTACCACACACAGCCTTTTTTGGTGGACTTATTTGCTCTCCTGACTTCAACCATCTCATTAAGGAATAATTTCCATATCTAAAATTCTAGCACCTATTTGCTTATGAGGCTTATATTTCTAGCTTCTTCCTGAACATCTCTACCTAAATAGTTCTTTGTGCTTCAAATCAACACATATTAAATTTTTATGTCTTCCCACAAACCTGCTTTCATTCTGGGCTCCCCTTTCATAGTTGATAGAGGGACAGTCCTTGTTATTTCATAAATTCAAAATTCTAGTTTCCTCTGTCTACAATTTGACCTTTACCAGATACATTTTATTGTGAATGAATTATGTCAATTCTTCCTTAATTAATATCTTTTTACTCTATTCTCTCCTTTATCATTGCTTATTTCTATCTCACTTAACTTATTCTTGCCCTATACCTAAACAATGGTTTCCTAAATTCCAGTATCATTCTGCCATCTGACCCTTTCAGTTTTAGCTTGGATCACTTTCCACTACATATTTTTTTTATATAATCTAGACAAATCAGTGCATTTATCAAAAATATGCTATTTAACTTTGTGATTTCTCTTACTGTCTAGAATGCCTAGAATCTCTCTCTTCTTCAAGGCACAGTTTGAATTAGGATGTATCTAACTCATACTCTTCTGTGGTCCTTCCCAGACAGAATCCAACACTCTCCAATCTTTGTAGAATTGTATCTGTGCTCTGCAATAGCACTTATTAGAGCTGACTTATACCACAGAAGGAATGACTTTCCCTCAATTAAACTATGAGCTCCTTGAAGGCTGACCTATGCTGGCCCCCTTAAAAATTGAATAAAAATAATAAAATATCAATAAATCTGTGTTGAAATCAGTATCCACAGTCTGAATTATGCATGCTAAAATTAAAATCATTGAATTTTTCAAAGTCAGCTTATAGAAGTGTTTTCTACTATTTTGTTTACTGAATTTACAATTATGTAGAATTGAAACTATCCACTCTTTGTATTTTGGTGTTTGCAAATAATCCTCAAGCAGAATGGAATTGAAGAAATCTAACATTCTTATGGTTGATTGATGATAGAGGCAAAATACATTTCATGATAATGTATACTTTATACAATAACAAAAAAATGGAAATTTCAGTGATGGAAAAGGTAAGTCACCTAACAATAACATTCTGGAACCATTACTGCTCACTGCAATGTAATTTAGTCCTCTTTTTATAACCATATGGACATAGTTAGAAATATAACCTACACAATTAGATTTTCAGGAGGGCATTATAACTTAGACTTTAGTGAGAAATTTCATTTGCATGTTTGTAAAACAGACCTATATGGTTCTTCAGATTGGAACTCTCCTACAGAACTCAAGCCATGTAGAGAGTGTATGTGATGTGCCATTTAAAGATGATTCCATTCAATAGCCATAAACAGAAAATCAGCAAGAACAAAAGAAACAGAACTTACCTATTGTGCTAACTCTGGCTGAAGGACTAGCTAACGCTGCTGGGACAGAGGCTTTGAGGGGGCCTGCCCCACTGTTTATTCTCAGAGCTGGCATATGGGGAGAGGTGGGTGATGTGGGTGATTTGCCATCAGAGGTCTTGGGTTTAGCTGATAGGTTCAGTGGCTGTGCCACTTCATCCTGCAATGATCATTAGAACATGAGCTGTGATAAGGAAAGGCTGATCAAAAATGCCTAGAAAAACACAGGTATGCAGCCTGTCATTTCCCATCAAATTACTCTACCAATCAGTGATCTTAACATTCATTCTGAATATTACAGCATTTGGTTAGCTGTCAACATAATGTCTCTTTCAAATACATATTCAAAATACCTTTTGTATAAGAGAAAGTACATGTGTACTCAACTACCCACAGAAAGCAGACCATTTATGTAACTGGTAAGAAATATTCTTAAAAAGCTACTCTTTGTACTATATTCATTTGTATTGAGAGACATTACACGTTAAATTTGAAATTATGATCTAGGTAGCGTTTTTTTTTTTTTTTTTTTTTTTTTTTAATTTCCAAAGAAAAGGTGTAGGATCTGATGCATCTTTGTACTCTGGTGCCTAGGCAGAGCACCGGGAACACCCATGGTGGAGGACCACAGATAGGTATATGCCTCTCATCAGAACTGCTCTCCAAATTCAACACACACACAAGAAAATCTCTTTCTTAGAAAATAATCCTTTCTCCCTAGGCTTCACAGAAACACCTTTGAATCTGATCTAAAAGTGAAAATAAACATAATTAACATTACCCCAATATGTACAACTTAGTTATAAGTCATACCACTCTAAACACTTAACAAACACCATGTTTTCAAAATTCAGATTTGTTTTCCAGATTTTTCTTTTAGCATACTATATGTGTCAGGAAGATCATGTGATCTATTCAGCATGGTTGATGATTTCCAGCTGCTCTATGGTTTAACAGGTCAAAACACAGTTTATACTCAATTTTATATCTTTCTCTTAGGTAACTTCATACAGGAGACTGTGGATACAATATCATTAAATTTATATTATATCATATAAAAATATAAGAATGAGATAATATTATTGTATCACTTTTAAATTGAAAATTGAAAAAGTTATTTTGTTCCTTTCCTGTGCTCTAAAATTGGAATATCATGCCACTTGTTTATATATTAATGTTTACAACATATCCAACTTTATATTATTGTAGAATAAAAATTTAGTTTCCATTTAGCTATTTCATGAGGTAAGAACATAAAATATTTACCAATAACAGGACGATTTGTTGAAAGTAGAAAAATTTTTAATCAAATGGGGTAGTCAGGTGTACTAGTTAATTGCTGTGTATAAAAGTTTAATGCATGGTTTTACCAAAAGAATCGTTGAAATAAATCACTTTACAAAATGGTTAAGTGGTAAGATATGACATCTATTTCAAATATATGTGTGTGTATATATATATATTTGAGATGGAGTCTTGCTTTGTTGGACAGGCTGGAGTGCAGTGGCATGGTCTCGGCTCACTGCAACCTCCACCTCCCAGTTCAAGTGATTCTTCTGCCTCAGCCTCTTGAGTAGCTGGGATTACAGGTGTACACCACCACACCCAACTAATATTTGTATTTTTAGCAGAGACGGGGTTTCACCATGTTGGCCAGGCTAGTCTTGATCTCCTGACCTCAGGTGATTCACCCGGCTTGGCTTCCCAAAGGGCTGGGATTACAGGCATGAGCCATGGTGCCCAGCCTCAAGTTTATATTTTTAAGTGGTTTAATATTATTATTGTTTCATTCTGTGGTTATGTGCACTTAAGAATTTCATAAACAGATTAGTTAAAAAACTACTCTTGTAATACGTTTTGTTTATATTGTTTCAAAAAAATTGAAAATTCATGAGATAATTCAAATTAGCAATCTTTTATGATGTCAGATAATTAATAAAGACCATTATACCAAATCTATATTGATTCATAGGATCTTGACAGGAAGTGAAATAATTCCATGATTGATTCAACATATAATTTGGAGAAGTTTACTTTAGCATTTTAAAAACTTATAGGGGCAATATTATCCTTACATTGTTCAATGTGAAACATGACCTGTTCAACCATAATCTGTATATATGATGTCAAAATTGGTAGCAACATGGAAGTATTGTGTTCTTGCATTTTAATCTTGCATGGATGAATATTTCTCAAAATGCAGCTCACAGACTAGCGTCATAAACACACCTGGGAACTTGTTAGAAAGGCAAATTCTCTAACACAAAAACTATGGGGATGGGTCGCAGCAATGTGTGTTTAACAAGCATTCATTCCAAAACGATTCTGATACACATTCAAGTATAAGAGCCACTGCCTCATACATTAACAATATAAAGGGAGACCATTGAAAAAGTTTTATTAGACTTCAAAAGCCTTTAAAAGCTTCTTCTGTATAAGAACATAACATTTAAAAATATGTAATATTACCTCAGTCTTTAAAATATGATTGGGACATATATGCTAATAATAAATGGAAATATTCATATTCATAATAAACAAAATGTTACTGAGAGTAGATGGGACAGTAAAAATTAGAATCCAGATATACTCTTGTTCAATTAAGCCTCAATATCCTGACTGTCAAGAACTTTACTATTTACTACACAGCTGTAAATATTCCAGGCACTGTTTCCCCCTAGCAATGTAGTACCTCTTTACTGCCTTCTGGGTGAAACTACTGACTTTTTTCATGACAGCCTTTAGAACTTCCTTTTGACATCATCATAACTCTTGCAAAAGTTTTGGGAGATGCTTGGATCAAAGGTGGCTGTTTTACTTGAATATGAAGAAAAGAAAAAGAAAGTCAAAAGAAAAGAAGAGAAGAAGAAAGAAAGAAAAGAAAAGAAAAGAAAGAACTGTATTCCCAGAGATTGGAACAGGGAAGATTTTTATGAACACAGAGGAAACAGTGTGAGTGTATAGTGAGGGTGAAATGGTGGTATTGATGAAGATGATGTGGATGTGGGTGCTGATTGGATAAACTGTCATATGTCTTAGCTTTTGGCACTCAGAACTATTACATGCACATGCTGAAAGATAACTATTCAAAGCATTGACTAGAGCAAGAGACCCACTGGAACTCTTAGTATTCACCTCCATTCAAGGCAGCACAGATGTCTGAAAGCCAAAAAGTGCAAGGCCCCAAGGACATAATAGAGGTTGACAGTTCCAAAGTTGATATAAATGTCATTCAAAATTGCCCTTTCCTTCTCTTCCATTGTGTGACCAGGCTAATGGTATATTAATAAGAACTCACATGCTTGATCTTTATACTGGTAACTGTATAAATAATTTTGATCCATTATATGATATTATTTCACAATTTTGTTCTTTTAATAATTTAGTACTGAGCTACTATACCAAATGCCTATTATTTATGAAGAATACAATAATTACACTAGTTTCTCATTTTCTATTAATTATTTTTCATTTGACTAGATGAAAATTTAAAAATCTTAACTATAAAATGGACATGGACAATTTATTCTTGGCATGTACTCTTAAAATATGAATATGTGCAATAAATGCTGAAGCTAAGACTTTTCCTACTTTGTATTTTACTTGTAATCTTACGTAGGAGAAATTTGAATGCTTAACATGATTAACCCCTATTCTTACAAATAAAACACACATTTAAACATGTTAAATAAATGACTTACAAATAAAAGGATGTGAGTAATTTTCAAGGTCAAAAATAATTGAAAAAGATACTATTTCTAACAACTACACTATCAAGCAGTGAGCAAAGCAATTTCCTGTTAATTACTTGCCTAATTGTTAAATGAGGTTGCCAGTTGGAACTTTTGAAAATAAAGTATTTCATAATTATTTCATGTATACACAAAGTAAGAGTTAAGAATTTAACTGCCGAGTGGCTCCAAACTTGTATATCATAAATATAAAATAAGCATTTATGTTTCAGTAAATGTGTTAAGTTAAACAAGTTTTAACTAGTAGAAGGCTATAATTTACATGTCTAGGGTTCATTACAAATAATCCAAAGAGTTTGTTTAATTTTCACAACTGTGATGTAATTATCTTGTGGAGGAAAGTAAGGCTTAGAAAGTTCTAGTGAAACCCAGGTTTCTGGACTTAACATACAATACTTTTAGTTTCTGTGAAAAATTTAACCTTATATTTAAAAAGGCATTGATGGAATACAACTTCTGAAAGTCAGTCTTAACTACATAATTGTTACACAATAATCACATGAAAGATAACATATATGCAATAAAATGATGTAATAACAACATTTGCTATTTTATACATAAAAACATTAAGGCACAAATTGACTTATCTTAGTGACATTTTAATGCTTCTCTGTCCTCTACACTAAATATCATTGAAAATTTCCTTTGTTGATACTAAAGAGTGGTTTGGACTATTCTTTTAGAAAAGTCCCAAGAGTTCATGTATACATGGTACAAGAAATAATATTTTATATAACCAAATACAAGTTTTAGAAGCTCACTCATAATATAACTTCTCCTAATCAATTATTAGGCTAATCTTAGTTGTCTGGGACAGAATGCAAAGTAAGTAAAATCCAAATAAACACATAGGTCTGGCAAGTTCCATTTACTTATAGCTACAGTAACTTGTCTGAAAGCTAACATCTCAATACGAGTTTGTGGTCACAGCAGTAGAAATACTATAGAAGCTTAATCAGTTAATCCCAGTCAATGACAATCTGCCACACAGATAAAAAAATAAATTTCATAAAGATTGTGAAACACATATGTAGCCTTAGATGCATTGAGGGAATACCAATTGTCACCATAAACTTATTCCACAGAGATACAGAGATTATTCCACATAAAGTTAACAAGCACTATAAAATAAATATATAGTTAAAATATATTTCATTTAGTTCATTTTCAAAAAACAAGTTTACTCTAGAAGAAAACATGTTACTGTAATGTAATTGTATAACAGTCATAATTTTATAACATACAAATACCAAATGATTTAGAGAAATCGCACAGAATTTAACAAAGAAAAAGCATTCTTCTCAATTCTAGGGCATTATTTCTCTCTCCCTACTACTTAGCTTTTCAATTTTTTGTTAAGGAGTTTTAATAGAGAACTAGGTAATAGAGGTACAAGCATCCTAGAAAA